AGCTTTGATATCTTTGTAGTTGGTCTCTACTAAGCAGCTCTATTGAGTGCCTACTGTCTTCATACGAGTGACTGACTCCATGGAACTCTGAGCACCTCAACAGCATGGATTTCAACAAGCGCTCAGTAAACAACCATGCACACAGGGCATCTATCTGTCCTTTCCATAGAAGAAAACAGAAACCCCACATGATTCACTGGTTGTAGTCTCCAAACTAAGGGGGATGGGGGAAGCCTGAGGCTCTTTTTAAATTCTCTTTCTTTCTGATAGGAGAAACTTTTCAGAGAAGGGGAAATAGAGTATAGCTGGGGCAGGGGACAGGGAGGGGAAAGGCCAAGCCAGGATGCTGGGTCCAGGCCTGCAGCTGCCTACCCTAAAATGTTGGGAAAGCAGGCGGCCCCCACCTACACAGATGCTACCCTTGGCAGCCCTGGGTTCAAGTGCTGCACACAGGACAGGACAGATGACCTCCCGATTCCATGACTTCCTGGCCCAAGAAAACCGATCTGCCCTGTCCTCACCAACTGGAGGCCCCTGTGCGAGGAGCGGGCATTCAGCAAATAGTTGTCGAGTGAGTGAATGGATTCAACTGGGACCCAATACCCTACTAAGCCACAGAAAGCCCGCTGCCAAGTTCAGCCAAGGGCAGCCAAGCCCACGAGGTAGAAGCAGCCGGAGAGTTACTCAGGACAGGGCTGGCCTGGCTGCACTGGGTAAGACTGCAGGTCCCAGCAGTTCTTTCCGTCTCATCTGAGACTTTTTCTATCTCTTCCCTCCTCCTCCCCAGCCCCTCTTGATTGACAGCAATTGCTGGCTCTGACATGGTTTAAAAATAGATATCAAGACCAGGAAGTTTAATTTTTAATGCTTTGGAAATGAACATAGAGTTGGCATTCTCTCATGGCCATGTTCCAAGGGTCTCTTGGGGTGTCCGCCAGACCCTTCATCTTCCTTCTTGACCTCAGCAGACAGACCTGGCCCCACCCCACCTCCTAAAAATCTGCTTGTAGCAGCCTCCCGGGGGAATCATCCCTCACTCCCGAGCACTATGGGAAATCCCTAAAAGTCTCTTCCTATGCTGTCTGCATCACCCGAATCTCTGGCATAGAGAGAGCAGGTAAGGTCGAGTCCCAACCTGAACTTCTTTCTAAGATCCCTCACACCAGAAGGCACCCCATAAATTCTCTCCAGCACTATAGGTTTCCCTGCATTCCCTATGTACAGATCTAGGAGTCCAGAACCCACAGAGGCCATGCCTATACGGAATGTACCACTTAGGCAGTAGAGAGGACTGACCTGAACAAAGCACCCGTAGACAACTAACAAGAGGGCCCAACCTTCAGGGTGATTAATCAGGAGCCTCACCTCACCTAGCACCCTGACGGTGGCAGCTCCATGTCTACCGTGTCCTGCTATAGCTGGCACACTCAACACTGTCTCCTCTGCTGCTAATTGGCCTTCATAAAAGGAGCAATCCACAAGGAATAGGCTTCCAGAGGGGCCAGGTGTCACTGCTCTGCCAGCCATGATTTAAAGTGATAGAATATCTCTGCTGGCAAGCATGAAAAGTGACTTATCCTGAGTGGCAATTAGCATACCCATCTGCCCCAGTCCCTCCAGCTCAGACAGCAATTGGACTCAAGTTAGGAGGAACTGAGCTGGGATCTGGATTTGCTGGCCACAGCATGCAGAGACCCCTCTTGCCCACTCTATTGTTGTTCGTTCTCTCGCTCTCTCTCTCTCTCTCTCTCTCTCTCTCTCCTCTCAACCCAGAGGTGCATGGGCTGAGAGAAACTTTTAGACTATTAGACTATACCCTGCTATTTCTGTCCATCAAGAAGCTAGAATTCCCTGTGGCCCTAATAGGGCTGCGTATGGATGGAAAGGACCAAGAGGAGAGGGTCCCTCCTTTATTCTCTCCATCTATGTCAGGTCCTCAGAGAAGCAGCCCTCCTGGGTGCCCCAGGCTCCCATGGTGCACTGGGCCACCGACCAGGCTAGAACTGTCTGGCTGAAGCCAGCATGCCAAGAACAGACCTGGACCCCCACCAGCAGGCAGGCGCCCAGCAGCCAGGGAGGCACCTGCCCTTTTCTTAGTAAGAAGGAGGAGCATGAACAGCACAGACCCACCTCCATCCTACCTCCGGTGACATCACAGGACCCCCACCAATACCACTGCCCTCAAAGCTCCACCCAGTGGAGAGGAAGCAGTCAGCCAAGGGGGGCTGGGTAAGTTCACCAGACTCCTCCAGAGGCTCCTCCATATAGGAGGTGTGTGGCATTGTGTCTGGGGGACTAGGGAAAGCTAGGCTCTGGATCCATGAGAAATGTTCAACTCTAGTCCTCTGTGGGGCTTGTGAGCCACTAAAGCAAGTGGTGGCTAAGTAACTCTTATTCCTGGCTTCAGGGGCTGAGTCTGACCCTCCCTCATCCCACTGTTTCCATTCCTCCTGCGTCCCCCACTCAGGGTGTGTGCAAGCAGCAGCAGAGACCTCCGGGGAACCTTGCCACACCCACCCTCCCTGTGTCTCCTCTATTTAGCACTTTCTTCTGCTCCACCCCTGCACTGAGCTGAGAAGCACCTGCCTGGAGGAAGCCCTCATGCGGTTACAACAGGGTAACATCCCCAGATCCCTCCGGCTCCCAGAAACCGCTGGCAAATACATAGCAACTGTCCATTCCTCTTCTGCTAAATTCCCCATCTTTCCTAAAATCTATATTCTATTTCAGCATCTCATATGGTAGTGGCATTTTTAAAAATGTATCTTTGGAACTCAACTCACCATAGCTCCTGGTTCCGAAAATACTACGCAATCGGAAAGTTGGGGGTGGGATGGTGCCATTCTTCCGCCAGGGACGCGTTCCAATTAGGACCAGCAGTAAAATCTCTAAATTTCTACCTACACTAGGAAGGGCAGACGCATCAACAGACTGGCTTAGAGAAGAACCGCTGCCACACTTGTAAAAAAGATAGCATTACTCCTCACATGACAGCTTACGGTGCCAAAAGAACCTCTATTATGGGCAGCTTTGATACCTAACTTCTCTTCCCCATTTCTTGGGGCTTGGGGATCCTAACCACGTAACACCATGCTGCAATTCATTCCTGATATTCACTCCATTTGATTGCTTACAAACGTGTTACAGGTCCCTACTATGTTCATGACACAGACCCTAGCCTACAAGGAGCCCCCATGCCCCAAACCAAGCTAGAATCCTTCAGAAGGTATCACGAGCCGTTATACCAACTGCAGCCAGCAGGCGGCGAGGCGAAGGAAGGTGGCCAGGAGCCTGGGCTGCTGAGCGGGGGTCACTCACTGGTCAAAAGGCACTGAGCGTCCATGCCCACAGAGTCCTCATTTAATTAATATGTGTTCAGTAGGGCAGTGCAAAAAGGTAGGCTGAAACCATGAGGAAAGAGAAGGTTCCAGTAAACAACGAAAATGACAGCATTCATGTGGACCAGGACACCAAGGAATCACAAGTACTTGGCTGACACAGATCCTGGCAAAGGAATAGAAAGAGCAGAAGGCACTGGCCCGCAAAACAGTGACAGAGTCATTCTTAACATTCCAATGGTTCTCATCACCAGAAAGAGAATGAGAATATCTGCCCCGGCTTTCCTAAAACTCCAAACACGTGACAGGTAACATTAATCACCAAAGTCGCCCTCCCCCACCCCAACCCTGGCACAGGCGCACACACACACACACACACACACACACACACACACACACACACAATGGAACTATCTAGAGGAACCCACATCTCAGACCAGGCTCTCAGGAAAAGAAAAAGAAGCCCTCAGGGGATCAGCTAGGTGACACCCCCAGGATATCACATTGCCAAGGCAGTAAGGACGGTAAAGGAGACCCTCCTAACAGCCTGGACTGGAGGAAAAGCCCCAACCTTAAGGGGCACCGTGACACTCAAGGTCACATAAAAATCTAAGAAAGAATGGAAACCAGGCAAGACTCACGATTCTTCCTTCATAGCCTAGAGCTTCCCCTTCTCCAAAAAAGTCACCCCCTCCACGCACACACCCCAAAAGTTTTTCTTAAAGTGGGTCACTTGGCAGAAGCTGCATACTGCTACCCAAGCCCACTGGGGATGTCTTTCTCCTGTCCCCAGGCTCCAGGCAGTGGCCAGGACAGACCTGGGGATAAGCCAAACATCTGTGCTGCGTAGTCTGAACTCTGGTGAAGAAAGGCAGAGGCAGCAATGAGGATGAAAGAATCCAAAATGAACTTAAGAAGTGTTCGTCTAGTGGGTGTTACTAGTACTTCTTACGCATGCACAGTCCCCCGTATCGCACATCAGACGGGGTATTTCCAAGCCAGCCCAGCCATAGACACTGTCTCTAGAAAAAAACTCATCTTTCATCAAGGTCCTAGGCACCACTGCCTGTTTCCCTTTCTCCCTTCTCATCTTGGGGCCTCCTGGAGCCTGGGAAAGTGCGGCCAGACTGCTGGCTGACCAGTTCACCCAATCCCTCAAAAGCAACAGCCAGTCCCCCTCTTTTTCCTGGGAGTCACCGAAATGAGCCAGCGGCTGTGACCTCCACACCGTCCATCCCACTCCCACAATGCTGCAGACTGTTCTCCCGCATTCAGAAGCAACAGAAGAAAACTCAGAAACCATCCGTGTCTCCTCTCCCACCAACGCAGCGGCACAGCTGCTCAAAGTCTGACCCACACCTACTGATGCAGGTACTTCAGCGTGGCTTTTCTTAGGTGGGGAAGGAGACAGTGGCAAACTTTGCCCACCTCGGAGGAGCGGACCATGTGTCTCCCGGAAGACCGACAAGTTGGAGCCTCCATTCAGCCATAGACTGGGGGGCGGGGAGGGGGGGAGGAGACGAGAAAGAAGCAAAGGAAGCATGCGATTTTTTAAAGCACTTACCTTTGAGCAGAGAAGGGAACGATGCAGTAAGGAAGCGGATATCACAGTGTGGAAAGCAAGGAGAGGGAGCAACTGAAGATTCAACCTTAAGGACTTACCCAGAATATCAAATTGAAGAGGAACATCATGTACTTCAAGCAGCAGAGGCAGCCCCTGGCCATGTTGCACTTCTTAAATTCTAGGAGGAACACAAAGGACAGGTCCAGGTAAAACACCACGTACTTGCTGCCTTTGGGAGCATTGTACTTGTCAGTCTTAATGCCGGCCTCGGTGTGGCTCTGACCCCGAGAACCTGCGGTGCCGTAGAAGGCGCCAGCCGTGAAGCCGCGGCCGAACGGGCGGCCAGAGGTGGACGGCTTGGCAAAGTCTGAGTCCTTGCTGTCCAAAGATGGACTCCGGTGGATCGAAGAATCCTCACTACTCGACTTCTCCATGCTCACGTCGTTCCCGGGGGGCACGAGGGGCGGGGGGCATTGCTCCCAGAGTGGGACGGAGGGGGCACCCGGGTCGGGCACAGGTTCTGAGCGGGCCGACCGTTGGAGCTTTGCACGCCCCCTCTTTGCACCGGAGAGCACTCGCGGAGCAACCCGCTGCCTCTGGGACGGCGCCCGGCTCTCAGCCTTAGCCCGCTAGCCCGGGAGGGCTCTGCGGCACCGCTCTAAGCACGCTTCGGGGAGCCGCTGGTTCGCCTGCGTTAACTAGGCTTCTTTGGGGAGGCTGCAATTTGACTGCTCTTTCCCAGGCGGCTGCACCGTCAACCGGTCGCTGCACTCGAGGCCGAAGGGCGCCGGGGATCCAGGCTCTGCAGGCACGCCTCTTCCAGCCCAGACCCAGCCCGGAGCCCTATCACTTTGCGGGCACTCGGACTCCCTTGTTCCGCGACTTTACGGAGCGGCTGCCGGCCCTGGGCTGCCCGGGTGCACCACGGGCAGAGCCTCGGGATCCGCCGCAGCTGCAACCGCTGGGCTTGCCCGGCGAAATCCCAGCCCTGACTCTCTACTCTGTAATCGCCCAGAGCCCCTTCCCAGGGTTCTGGGCCCCGCCCCCTGCTTTGCATCCGGCCAATGGGCTCAAGGCCTGCCTGGCTCCAGTGGGGGAGCTACCCCCCTCCCCAATGACACAATATCTTTAATAGGATTAGCGGTCTGCTGTGTGCCTAAACCAGTGTGCCCAGAACACTTCTAAATGTCAAGGGCTCAGTGGCTGGGAATGAAGCGGCACCTCCATGTGAAAGTACTGGTTTCTTTTGCCCCAGCAAGGGTGATGAGAAGAGGAGGACAGGACAGTTGGAGGTACCACGGATCCAAGAATGCCAGAGGATAGGTCTAGGGAAAAAGGCTGGAAGGGAATGAAACCCGGCCACTACCAGGCTGGCCGTCGCCTCCCTCTAAACATCAGGCCTGTCCAGTCTGGGGCACATGGTTGGTCTCAAGCAATACTTACGCGCGCGCGCGCGCACACACACACACACACACACACACACACACACCACGCTTTTGCACACGTGAGAACAGCTACTGTGCACTGGTAGAGGGACCGCAGCAGAGACGCAAGGTGTAAGAAAGCGCCCCCAGGCCTCTGCGGGGCGCGCCGCCCTCCCCGCCCCCTCCCTGCGCACACGCAAGCGCGGCTCCGAGAGATTCCTGCAGCTGCGCAAGCCCCCGCCTCTGCGTTCCTGAGTGGGACGCCAGGGCTGCAAGGGGCAGGTGGTTTGAGTGGGACACTTATGCCAGTAGTAGAGCAAGGTAGCAGTGCTCTTTCTTGGTCACAGCAGGGTCCTCTTGGAGCCCAAGGTCCCAGAAAAGACCGGAGGGATGTGCCTGCCAGGGGAACATCCGAAACAACCCTTGATCCTCTTATAAAGCACTGCAATAAAGACAGCCTCCCCTGGGTGTGCAGAAGTCTGCATTGCTGACCTGGAGCCACCACGGTTTGCAAATGATGAGAAATAGACGACTGGGGATGGGGGGGGGGCGGGGGGAGACAGGGATCTAGTCTCTCCTTTGTGTGGCTGACTCCCTAATGCAGGAGCTAAGTTTTACCAGGCTCTGTAATCCCAGCACCCGACAAGGAGCTCCGCTTCTGGAAAGCACTTCAGAGGAATGGCTAGATGGACGATTCCATGCCCTTCCAAGCGGTAAAGGTGTCTGCCCTGGAACCCTCTACGCTCTATCCTGAGCCCCAGGGGGAGCCCTTGAGGAAACATAGGAGTGTTACTGCCTGCCCTCTGGGCAGCACAAAATGTAGTTAGGACAGGAAGTTATCCATTACCAAGAAGGCACAGATAGACACAGCACCGTGGCTGTGCAGTGAGGGGGAGAGTCATCCCACCTAGGGGGACTTCGTCTTCTCCTGCCCTCACCTCAAGTCCGGAGTGCTGCTCCTCTACAGAAACTGTACTGTTTCCACTCTTTGGGAACAGCCACCAGCATCGAGCATCTCCCCGGCTGGGCACAATGGTCCTGGGATGTCATCTGCAGAAAAGGGGGCAGATGTCTAGGTGGCTCCCGTGGCAGCACCGAGCAACCTGACAGGAATGGCTAAGGCCTTCTGTCCTCACTCGGCTGCTCGGGGGTATGGGGTTACCCATCTTTCTTATAACATTACTTCTGACGGAAGCATCCACCAGCTGGACTAGAGTCAGGAGACCTGCTCTTCGCTGGCAGCTTGTACCAGCCTGGCTACCATCCCTCCTGTCAGTATGAAGTTCAGGAATACCCAGATGTGTTGTGTGTGAAGTGAACCAACAGGGGTGAGGTCAGTCAGAGCTGTGGACTCTGAACACAAAGGGTATTGCTCTTGTGGGGGAGGTGTCACCAAAGATGTCACCTCAGTGCTAGCCCCTACCTTGTTATCTTCTCCCATCTCTTCTCCCCAGTTCACACCTGCAGCAGTCACACAAGTCTCCCCTGGTCCCTGGGCTGTCCCATCATTGTGTGATTAGAAATGAATATATACCTCTGGGGCTTGGGACCAGAAAGTCAGGTGACAGCAGGCAGGCAAGAGAAGACTGTCCAGTGCCACAGCTCTGCTCCCCGTGGTCACACTCATCAACGCCCAGCTGAGTCACTATCAGACTAAGAAGGGCAAATGCAATTCATCAGCCCACCCATTCCTCGGGCTGACCCTACCACATACGTGTGGTGACCATTCCATCTTACAGAAAGGAAATGGTGGGCTTGGGTGTGTGCTTTTCAAGCCCAGGTGCCATCCTCTCTTAGATTTTAAGCACTTGCTGCCCTTGGCAATCTTCCAGTCTAAGAAAATCTTCAGAGCACAACAGGGAGCCTGAGATGGCATGTCTGGATGGGTAGGGGGGCCATTAAATTAAAGGATACTGAATTAGAGGGAACAGGGAAGATGGCAAGGTGATGCTCTGGACTGGACAGGTCATCAGCAAAGGCCTGAGGGCTGTCACAAAGAATGTGACAGAGAGGGAAGTGCACGAGAATGCAGTGAAGAAGACAGGGAAGGAACCCAATCTTAGGACAAAGCCAGATGGAGCCAGGACACACCCATCCCCTGCCTCTGCCCCCTTATGAAAACTATTCACTAGTGACAGATGGGTCACTGTGGGCAGATCCCTGAGCATAGATACCAGGATGGATGACCAGGATGAAGGGGATGACCCAGGAGGTCCCTGGAGCTCACCATCCAGCTGTGGAAACTAGCCTTCTACCCTGATTCCACCAGTACCCAGAGCATTCCAAAAGAACGATGCAGAACCCACGAGGCAGGCTAAGTGGGGAACTATCCTGTGGTCCTTCATTGGACTGAGCCTCTTTAAAGTGGGTGGGGGAATAAGGGCTTGAGTGTGGTCCACTCAGGAAGCAGTGAGAGGACAGGCCAGGGTGTGCACAGTGAAAGTTGAAACTATATTCTGAAACTTCCCAGGCAGCCAGGCCCTTGGCCACCATGGGGCCAAGGAAGCTGAGCCTGCCAGCAGCAGGGAGAGGAGAGATACGGAAAAGCTAGCAGAGGAGGCTGCAGCAGTTCCTTAGATTTGGGGTGCAGAAGGAGCAAGCAGGTGATGTGAGATACTACTCCCCCGGTCCCCTCTCAATTCTCCACACCTTTTCAGGTCCAGGAGAGCCTGAAGGCACTGGCTGCCTTTGAGGGGCTCTCTGCATGCAAACAATGCAGACTGCTTTACTTCTCTCCCACGCCTATTTTTTTATGGAAAAAAAAGAAAGAAACGAGTGAAAGGGAAAGAGCAAGTACAGAATTCGTCAAGAAGAGCAAGGAAAGTAAATGTGAGAACCCAGTACTCCACATCTCTTTTGACTGGCAGCCAGGAGACAAGGGCTTCCCAGGAAATGCCAAGTGCTTTGTGCCTTTCCAGAGTTTCCCAGGCTTTAGGTGAGACAGGGTCCAACTGGCGCTGTCTTCATCACCAGCCCAGACACCTTCTGGCCCAAGCTGGCTACTCTTGCATGTAACTGTACTGCAGCATCACATACCCCTAACTCTTAACCATGAAACCTGAGTTTAGGGGAGACCAAAGTACTGCTTGCTGGGAATCGGAATGAGCAGGCTGGGCAGCCACTGTAGAAATAAGCTATTCACCCCTGGTTCCAAACTCCAAATTTGGGATCTTCTTTGGCTGTAAAAGGAATGCTTTAATTGCTGAGCAAACTTCCCAAGAATGAGTGGCCCCTAGCAGGAGACCCACCTCCCAGATGTCTGCATGAAGATTCACTAGGCAGGAAACAGTGACAGGGGCCACACTCCTATTTGCTAAGGAAACAAAACAGCTTGAAATGTGAATTCAGAACGGAGGATGACAATGACTATAAAGAGACTGGAAAGTGGGGAGCTAAATGAAACTGGGCACACACACTGCTCTCAGGAGGTTAGGTCAGGACTGCAAGTTCCAGGCTAGCCTGGGCTACACAGCATGAGCGGAAGGGAGAATGGATGAAGAGACAGAGATAGAGGGAGGAGGGATGGATAGAGGGAGGGAGGGAGGGAGGGAGGGAGGGGGGGAGGGAGGGGGGAGGGAAGAGAGTCTGAAGATACTTTTTTACCTGCATTTTTGTGTGTGAGGTTCCTAAGAGTAATGAAGAAAACACATAAGGTTTGTCTCAGTGGGAGGGCTCATAGTTCTAAGAAGGGATGAATTAATTGCTTAGGGCATTACAAATCAGGGCAGGCTGCCTCTTCTAGAGAATGGCTCCTTGCTCGCTCTCAGCACTTTGTTCAAATTGTAATGGCTCACCTGCCTCTTCTCTGGTCTCTGGGCTTCTAAAAGACAACAGCACTTACATCCTGGTCATTGCACACACACACACACACACACACACACACACCTCCAGTGCCTGTCACAGTGACTACCACATGGTAGCTACTTAGGAAAAAAGGAAAGCTACCATGCCCAGGCTGGACAGTTGGGCTCCAAGTTCACTCACCAAAGGATGGGACCCAAGCCAAAATCTATGGAATTGTTCCTGGAAGGGAGGCCACCTGAGGACATCAGCCACTGATGAGGCAGCCTAGGAAACACCCAGCAAGTGATGGTGTACATGTCATGATGTTAACTGATCATCATCAGGGCAATCACCCCAATACACGGCATGTCCTTGAATGGACGGAGAAGCAGGCAATAAGTTTAACCAATGGGTTCGCAGAGCCATTCTGGAAGATGCGTCCAGAAACAGGAGGGTAGGAAAATTAAAAGACACAGGAGCAAGGCAGGACAAAGGTGCCCCTGGCCCCTTGTTTGTGCTGGGTGTAGAGGGATTTACAGAGGGGCTCCAAGGGCAGGGCAGACAGAAACACCTCTGCCTGCAACTTGGTTCCAGGAACTCATGTGAATGCCATGGTATTATATGCCAGGCTCCAAATCTCAAGAGCAAAACCACTCTTGGCTGGGCTCGAGATGTGCCAGGAGCTGGGCTGCTGATTCAGAGACCTTGGCTGTACATAAGCACCTCTGACAGGGAAGTGTGTGGGTTAAGGCAAGTACTGGTACCTCTGGATGCTCGTCAGCTTTGCTCCTGAGAAAC